AGTTTCACAGTGAATCTATCTGCATACGGGGGCACGAGGTACGCGCATGCCCACAGTTCAGCCTGATTCTGTAATGTTCAGTCTTGTCTTGTTATTAGGTCAAATCTTGGACAGGTTGTACAGAAACTGTCATTTCATTGTACTGGGACGCCGGTACAATGACAAATACAGATCCTTTATTCCGTGATTCGCTCTTTAGGGATTGATTTTTAGCAAACATCTGTTTAAATCCATAAATTCACATCAGTACATTTAACCAGTTAACAGATATGAGTGAGTGACACCACTCCCATTCTGGAAAACATTCCTTTCTAATGATTGGCTGATTAAGGCCATTTTTTAAAATCTCCCCGCATCACCATAAATCTCCAGACCTCCGACACGTTCTTCATTTGCATATAAAAAGCATCACCTTCACTTCCACTAAAGTTCCATGTTGCACAAGCTGAATTAAAATTAGGTAAAGGAGAGGAAGTAAAGGTAAAAGCGTTTATGTCGCTGTGATATGTGGCGCACGATTTGTGTCAACATCCGCTTATCGGTTTGTACGTGAAACTCCTACCGGGAGTCGGAAGAGAAGCGGCTTTTGCAAACATGGCAGAACTTTGATTACAACGTTATTGGCGTTGGTAAATGATACCTAGCCATAATGACCTAACGCTGCAGATGATCTCCTTGAACTTAGAACTATGATTCATCGCTTCGGCTAATGAGATCCGATGGTAAATAAGAATAGGAAAGCGTAATGGACTGAAGACAGCGGAGCCTGTGTTTCTGTTTGATGAATATTTGGCTTTTTGGGAGTAAACAATCACGCCTCAGATGGCTGCAGAGGCAGAAGGGAAGCATAGACCAACTTTTGTATGGCATTCACAAAGGCCCCAACTTAATGGAAGTTTGAATTACCATTTAAATAGGATTTCTTTTGTGGGGGGGAGGGGGGGGGTGTCATACAGAAAGATAAATTACATTGTAAACAATGTCAAAACTGTTTAATGACACATATGAAATGAAAGCACACACCCCGTGCTTTCTTAGCTACTGAGTGATATAAAGAGTGGACTGAATAAAAAATGAGGCAGCCCGAGGAGAAAAAACACACACACACACACACAGAAAAGCAGCTCTGCAGACTTGTTTTGTCTCTGACTAGAGCTGCACTTTTAATTGACTTGAATAAAAAACTCAATTACAAGATTCTGGCCACCGGGGCTGGAGAGAAAGCAAGTGGCAGAGTGTAAGAGGAGGATAAGGGGGAGGAGAGGAAGCAGAAAGAGGAGTGAACCGAGCATGAGAGAGGAATGTAGGAGTTATTGGGCCAGAATGACACCTCGGGGGGAGTCAGGGCAGCAGACACGCATTCCTAGAGCCCGGCCTGTCTATGGGAATTACAGTTAGCTGAAAGGTGAAGGAAAATAAGCAAAAAAAAAAAAAGGGAGATGCAAAAGTGCTTTGTCAGCACCTTTTAAAAGTTGTTTTTTATGAATTTATTGTCGTCTGTCCTCGGCTATTTCCACTGAAGCTGACTGAGATGCTGACTGAAGGTGAGGGGCATTAAATCAAGTGAAATCAGTAGATTCACTCAGCTGAGCTGATTTAGCTTTGGCTGACAGGTCTTGCATGAGAAGAGTATTAAAGGGCTGAACTTGAATAGATAAGAAGGTAATGACAAGTCACAAGTGTGATGCAAGGAGAAAGAAACAGAAGATTCTGGGGAGAAAACACACATCCTTAAGACCACACAGAGATACTGTCAAGCTAATGTGCATCCCTACAATTTTTCCATGGAAGTATGGTGCAGCTGTGGGAGGTGGAGCTGTTGATGGGGGTGTGTGTTGTGGAAGTCCTCCCGGTATCTCCAACAACAGATTCTTTTTCAGCCTACAGCAGTCAATGCAATGTTTGCGGACAGTGTGCCAATATTTCCGCTTGTGTGTGTGTGTGTGTGTGTGTGTGTGTGTGTGTGTGTGTGTGGGTGTGTGTGCGCACGCGCAAACAGTAAGCTGTTGGTCCCATGGTTGTGTGTTATTGATTAGTCATCTCTGTGGGCAATAGGAGCTGTTATCAGGCCTGACATGGAGACAGACGGGGGTGGATGATGCATGGGATGGGAAAACTGCTCAGACGCAAAGATAATGGAGGCACACATGCACCGATTCACGCACATGCATGCTGTAAAGATGGAGGGGCAGACACTGTCACATGCTCCCACAGACTCTTGCGCACAGAATAGACCTATTACACAATCTAGCGCAAATGTATTGGCAGCAATAGATTTGTTTTCAGCACCACGGACAGCACTCTAAATCTTGAGCGATGCAGGCACACACTGCATAGGGCTAATGATTATCTATGGTGGCGCCCACAACTATAATCAGCCATTATTCAGAGAAGTTAAGTGTAGATGCCCTCAAACGTCACAATAAATTTTCCAAGTGGATCCAAGGAAGTGGGTACAAACAAATGTGAGAATACGGTGTTGACCAACCCGGTGCGTCTTCTGACCATACAGCAAGGATCCAGGTACTCACCTAGGAGAGAGAGAGAAAAAGGGTTAAGTTACTGCACATACACACACATACAAACTCAAACTTGTGTATTTGTGAAAGTAATTATTCTTTAACAAAAGCGAATGAGACAGATTTGTATTGAGATTGTGTTTGTGTCTGAATTCTCAGTTTTGTTTTGGTTTTGACGACTGAAAAGCCTTTCAGCCAAAATGTAAACCAATGATCATTGGATCATTATTACTAATGTCAACATTTTGTAGGCTAAATATAAGAAAACAGTTTGGGTAATTTCATTGTTTCTATTTATATAAAGAAAATACAAAAAAACAAAAATTGAAGTCAAATCCGTAATGCAGTGAAAACAACAAACGCTGAATTCCAATTTTCACTTAACATTCCTAAGACACACACACACACACACACACACACACACACACACGCGCGCATGCATGCACGCACGCACACACACACACACACACACATTGAATCTATTCGTGTGAGGACCCTTCATAGACCTCCATTCATTTTTGTGACCTAACTATGCCTAACCCATACCCTAACCATTACAAATGTTGCTGTATTTCTGACCCTGATCTAACTAAAGTTCATTTACACCATGCCACTAAAACCAACTATAAGGGTTTTACACTGTGAGGACTCTGCAAATGACCTCACAATTTGAAAATGTTAAAGGTGAAAAGTCAAAAATGTGTTTTCACAGCAGGTGTAAGAAACAAACACAAGTCAGCAAGTTGCTATACTAGTGAGGACCATTCATTCACCTCCATTCATTTTTGTGATTGAATTATACCTAACCCTAACAGTCTACTACTGACCCTCACCTTAACCAAAATGACCTTCTTTTATATGTGTAAATTCAACATTGGTACTCACAATTATATATCCACCCCAAATACAGTCACTCGCCACGTTTGAATATGAAAACAGTAATGCAGTGTGATTACTTTTAAAATCCTTCATGCTTAGGTCAAAGATCAGAGAGGGCTGAGCATATAATCAACCTATGTCTAAATGGTAAATGGCAAATGTTCTGTATTTGCTATAGCGCCTTCTAGAGTCCTGGAACCCCCAAGGCGCTTTACAACACAACCACTCATTCACCCATTCGCACACACATTCACACACTGGTGGGGATGAGCTACAATGTAGCCACAGCTGCCCTGGGGTGCACTGACAGAGGCAAGGCTGCCGAGCAAGGCGCCACCGGTCCCTCCGACCACCACCAGCAGGCAAGGGGGTTAAATGTCTTGCCCAAGGACACAACAGCGACAAACCTGCAACCTTCCGATTACGGGGCGAGCATTTAACTCCTGTGCCACCATCACCCCTAAAGATTCTGTAAGATTTTGGGGGTGAAGTTTGAATTACAAAAATCAAAATGTTCACTTTTAAAATAATAAAAACTCCTGAAAGCCTTGAAAATGGTGTTAAAATTGATGACAATAAAAAAAAGTTAATTATAGGACAAAGCTTTCAAAAATAGTCACACTGTTATCAATATCCATCATTTTCATTTGGAGTTGTCACTATTCTTACCCTGCAATAATATGACAGCACCAGTATTTCATATTGAATGACATTTCCAGCACAGCTCTTATGTGCAGCTTTATTTTTTTTTTGTAGTAAACTTTTTTATTCTGAAACCTAATTTGTCAGTTAATGCTTGAGTGATTTACTTTCCTCATGCATGCATCAGCTAACTCGAGCGTTTCTTGTGTGCGAGAACTGAGTGAGCTGGTAGACGTTAGCTGTGGGACGGGTCGTCCACCAGATGCCAACCATGTGCGGACAGGGAATAGATTGTCATGGCTGGCAATTTACAATATTGTCCTCCTCCACAGGGACAGGCAAACTTAGGTTTATTCCAGTCAACCATGAGAATGCATGAGGTCAAGCATCCCAGTGCATGCTCACTCTGATGTAAAGGAAAGGTTAGGAAAGGCCATAGGCCCAGATAGGGGGGGGGGGGGGGGGGGGGTCAGTGTATGGGTATTTTCAAAGTCAAGTATAAAATAAAGAAAGAATATTTTCCAATGTCTAACTTTGTAAAACGTGCTTTTAGATAAAGTGAAGAAAAAAGCTACACTTATTCACCCAAACTGTGGGAAGGAACTAAAACATGGGTAGTTAAGTAGTTATGGCAGAACCTCATTTTCTATAGTTTTGTTCAGTGGTCCTTAATAAAGGCTTTTTTGACTACAAGAGGCTTAGATTATTATTAAAATTGTTTCAACGAGGATTCTGCAAAATTCTAACTGGAAAAGATCTAAACTGTAACTTTAATATCCCAGATTCACCCACTTTCTCACATCTATGTGCTTTTTTGGTGTGTGTTTTCGTCTAGCTTATTAGTACAGTGAAATGGTGAAACAAAACTACAACTTACAGCAAGAATACTGCTTGACTGGGAAACAGCCATGTGGTCCTGACATCATGAAAAAGGTCAAGATTATTTACCTTTACACTGTAAATTGCATTTACGCCTTTTTGTTGTCCCAACGTTTGATTTCATGTTAATATAACAAGGCTTTTGTATTGTTGTTGTTATAAATTAGAATAATTAGTTAAACACATCTCAACAACACTAAAAATGTTAAACAATAATTTTATGTCCAGTCAAATAAATTATCCAAGTCTACTTGACTTTTGAGCATTAAAATATATGTCCACTGGGTGGCGGTAAGTGGCGCAAAGTTTGTTTCGCATGTGCCTATGATAACGGAAGAAGAAGTCAACGGAGCTCTCAGCTCAGTCAAGCAGTCTTTCACGCGTGCAATGTTCTGTCCAGAAGGACTAATGACTCCATTTAGGGTTAAAACCAACTACTTTGTCCATCTAAAGGTGACACTGAACCAGTTCAACAGAGGCCCACCACTTTGGTAAGTTTTCTTTGGGTTTATGTTGAATTTGAATTTGTTAGTTGTTAAATAGCATTAGCTTGATTAGTCATAGTGAAATGAATAAATAAAAGGTCTGAACCTGAAAGTAAATCGTGTAATTCTAAGTTTAATGTTGAATGCAACTTAGTATATCTTATATTTGATTGTTAGAAGTAGGTAACTCGCTGTTTGTTGGTTAGCATAGCAGGGTTGGCGGGGAAATTGTTTTGGGAAATGTTTACTCGGTAACAAGTTAATTAACCTTTTTTCTGAAAATGTATACTCATAAAATTAAGCTAAATGCTCAAAGCCGGGTCCACATGGGCGCATCTGTGGCGCGAAACAGCAGCGGAATCTCGCAGCATCTCAGCCGTTCTCCTCGCTAAACTCTGTACGTCACGTGACCCTCAGAGAGTAGACGCCATGCGTTTACTTCACACTTTAAAACCGAATACATTGTTTTATATAGTCAGTATTCATTTAAATAATGAAACAGAAATAATTAATCAAAATATTAGGTGATACTTGCAAGTTAGTTCTGTGAAATGTTGACCTCATTAATCATGAATTTTTTACCTAAGTTTTACCTATTTCAGATTCTATTTTGAAGGTGCCCATGATGAAAAGGCCTTTTACACCGTATGAAGTGGACCTGTAAACTTGGTACTTTTTTCTGTGGAAATCGTAAGTGCATCATTGAACCTTATCAAAGCAATCACAGACATTACGGCAGAACTTGCCCTTTGCCCTTCATTTACAATTACTGCTCACAGTATTTCAGATCCAAACAATCCTTGCATGTCCATCTGAGAGATCATGGACTCAATGAAAACACTAATGGACTAATAAGCTTTAAGGTAAAATGTTTGTTGTAAAATTAAAATTGTACATGTGTTGCAAGTTTGCAACAAGATTTATTTTTTTGTTCTTGAATGTTTCTCAGCCTGGTATTTGGAGCACCTTCGTTGTTACGAATTCTGCAAGAAAGATCCAGATCAACTGATGGCCACTGAACCCAGTGAACTAAACCACTACCTTCCACTGTCATCCTACGCTGTCCAAGGCCGACTGGTGATTTCTCCAAAGGTGTTTCTTGTACATTGAGGTGAGTTATTGTATTTTGGCTATTTTTGTTCTTTCTCCAAATGTTTGTCACCCTAAAAGTAGTAAATGGAGCTCAACTACTTCCATGAATGGTGTCAACATTTATTCATCTCTGAGCCATTGGATGGTACTTAATGATACAAGACAGTACTAAGAGCTCATCACAAAAACATGTTTTTGTAAGCTGAACCTTGTAAAATTTTAGCAATATTGTCCACAGACAACCTTGTAATGTAGCAAGTTGGTGAAATGATGAACATCACATTCCCCCTACGAAGAAAAGAAATAGTTGAAAATCAACCTCTTGCGGCTGAAGTCAAAGAAGGGTGGCCAGCCCTGTTCAAAGAACAGCAGGCACATTTCGATTTTTCTCTTTCACACATTTGTCAACTTTTTGTCTTTTTTAAAAAGTTGTGTAAAGTTGCAAATTTTGTTGTTGTCACCTTCAATTACAGATTGAAGCAGAGTTTGCTCGGCTGACATCTGTTGACCTGAAGAAGTCTTTCTTCAGTGGACTGGATCAGCATTTGCCAAGGTTCCTGGAGCTGTTCAAGGCCAAGAGTGGGAAATCAGCTGGACTAAGCAGGCAGCTTAAATGTCTTGATGACGTAAGCAAATAAATGTTCACATATTTTTGTTAGTATTAGTAACATTTCCTTTGGAGATTATTTACAGTTTTACCAGTTTTCAGTATTTAACAGTATTTTCTACTTTCTAATACAGAGAAGAAGAAAATTATGTTAACATTTTGTTGGGTTATTGTCTTTGGGTGAATAGAATTCAGTCATGCCTTTTAGGAAATCCATCAAATTGAAATTATCTTTGAAACAATCTGCCTGTGTAAATGTAGCAAAAAAAAAAAAGCATGTTTCTACACAAAATTACCACAACCCCAGTAGCTTTCCTATAGTGATAGGTCAGAGCTGGAAAAACTTATCAGAACAATTCTATTCCAAAAGCTATAGTATTTAGAATAAAACAAAATGGCTAAAGGCTGCCAAATCCCCCCTCCCAATAAAACAAAAACAGAAAAACTGTCAGTCAACACAAATTCTGTAGCAGACTTCTATTGCAGTACAGGTTTGGAAGAAGAATTTGAAGTGAAAATGTCCAACTAATCAATTGAATATAGAAAACAGAATAAAAGAATCAGGATATCAATAATTTGTTATTCTCTTTATAATTAGTTGTTTTGTCTTTGTTTTTTCTCAGTCCTCTATACTGAGGAAGAGGTCATTTGTTCTTCCGGTGCCTTCCGTATTTTCTCAAGGATGATCCTTCAAATGCATTCAAGACTGTTCAGGTGAGCATTTGTATCAAAAATGATCTGTGAACAATTTCTTTATAAGTGAAAGTAGTGATGTGATATTAGATGTAGTTATATAAAGAAGGGTTTTAAAGCCATACTATGCAACTTTTTCACATTATTAAATCACTTTCTGGAGCCAGTATGTGCTAAAATGAACCTTTGCTGGGGTGATGAAATGTCACACAGACCCTTAAGCTTGGTTTATGCTTGACGCATTCACTTTCCGCGCGGTGATGCGGCTCGCGGATGGAACACACTTCACAACTCGCAGCGTTTATGGTTCGTGCGGCTCGTCTCTGCGGTGAGCCAATATTCTCCCAAACTGAACGGGGCAGCATAGAGCTCTACGGCATGTATCCAACACTACACCATAGTAGAAGTAGAAATTACTGTTTACAGCATGGCATTTCAGCATTTTTAACAGCGTCCTCATCTTTTCCGACAGTGCGAGCTATTTCTCTCCAAGAATTATTAACAACATGTTGATCACGGTGATCTCTGAGAGCTGAATCATACAAATGTCTGTATTTACGAACCTCTGCCATATTAGTTCTTGCCGGTCCGCCATGTTTTTACGCGTGGTTAGAAATTTTCCTAGGTGCGCGTTGCGGAAATTTTGGGCCGTGTGGAGACGCGGTGGAGGGGCCTGGTTGTTAAAATGATGCAACTTTTCCACGCGGAGCCGTGCGGACACGTCAAGCATAAACCAACCTTTACCGCCCTCTGTTCTGCAGCTCTCCTCAATGAGAGGGGGGATGGGGGCGTTGCACACGTTCCGCTGCTGTTTCTCACCAGTATCAGCTGATGGAGGACTCTAGCTCTGTTGTGCCGTTCGTGTCAGCGGACACGGTCGGGGAGGGGGGCGGGGCATGACGCTTAGCCTGGCTGGTGGGCAAACAAAGCCTGCTAAGTGCTGGGGGAAACCCTGAAATATGAAAAAGTTGCAAAGTATGCCTTTAAAAGGGCAAACGCACAGCGAGGAGATACGTTTCAATTCTGCTTTGACCACAGACAGACACCAGGGGGCACTAAAAACAAGCAAAACTGCCTAGTCTCCTTTTAACAAGGTTGTCTGTAGAATTATCCAAATATTGCAAGGGGTCATAGTGAGTAATTTGCTTTATAACTTGTGTAGGTCATTGACGAGGAAGCCACACTCACTCGGGGAATGCAAGTGTGAGTTCTGCTGGTGAAAGATGGAGAGGACATCATTGCCACATCAGTCATTCTTGAGGAACAAGTGGTCCTGCCTGATGTGGAGGACATTCCTCATGCCATTGCTCTACTGATGGGTCGGCTTTTTGCCTTTAATATAGACTATCCAAAGGAACTCAGGTACACATTTGAAGTTTTTCAAAAGGTCCTGATGAACATCGGCGGAGGTCAGTGTTCCTCCCTTGTGCATGGTTTGAGAAACAGACTGTTACAAAAAAACCATGTAGATTCTCCTGAAATGTCTCATCTCATGACTCATGGATGTCTGAGCTTTTTGAAAGCACTCAACGTTTCCTGTTAAACATTGTTCCAAAGGTCATATAGAAGTTTGGCACATGGTTTGGAATTCTTGTTTTGTTATTTCATCTGTTTAGGTTTATTCCATCAGAAAATATAGTCATATCAGTTCAAAGCCAATCAAATGCATAGGTTGATAAAAAGTATTGCAATAAAGAGGTCAACATAAGACCAAACGATAGAGGACAAGATTAAAATGTGCACTATTTGTTTAGAACTACTATTTTGAATTGTAGTATCATTTTGAATTTTATTTTATTGTTTTTATTTGTGCAAGGTTTTGTCAGATGCTTTAAAAGTTTATGCACTTGAGTTAATGTGCAATGACTTGTCTCATTTAAGACACTAAATATGTTCTAACTATAAGACCTTGATAAGCTGCTGTGTTAATGTTTTTTTTTGAGTGCAGACTGTTCTAAAACGTTTTCACTATTCATTACAAAACAAAACAGCTTCAGTAAATGTTGCAGAGCTGTAACTTCATTACTGCTAAATAAATAAAAAAACTAGCTGAGTTGATGAACATGTTTGTATTGTTTCTGTTTTTGGAGGTGAAATTTATCACTAAATGGATCATTTTGTGTGAAATGTACATAAATTAATCATATGAATGTTTTAAATTTCCAATATACAGTGCCCCCATCTTTTTTCGATATGGCAAATGTTTTAAATTATTTAGTTAAGTTGACTTAAACATTTCTTCCAAATGAATTGATACTTTTAAATTGAGTCAACATACATTTATGGATTACACGGACTGTACCAGTCAGTTCTCTCAATTAAAAAAACAACCCCAAACTAGTTTTGACAACGTAAAATTATTAATTGTGGTTTAAGTTAAAAAAACTAAAAGAAGTTGAATCAACTCTTGATTATAAATTTAACTAACTTAAAAACATGTTGGTATAACAAGAGAGTTTAATTTGGGATAAAATATGGTAATGTTAAGACAACAAATTTTGTTTTTTCATTTAACTCAAAATTTTAATGCAGCCCTTTCACTCGTATTTTTAAGTTGAAACAATATGTTTTATTTTACAGTGTACTCATTTAACTGGGAAATATTTTTCAGGGTTTTTTAAATATATTTTTTATTTTTTGGCAGGCAAAAACAAAACAGGAATGCTTTGGTACCACTCATCAAAATAAAAGAGCTGCACAGAGTACTACAATTTTATAGCCCTACATTCCTTTTTCCAATGCCCTATCCTCATATATTGGTATATTGATATATATATTTGTTTTCTTCATTTATTTCATTCAAAATAAAAACAAATAAAAAACATAAACAATAAGAAATCCATAACAAAAAATCTAATTTGAACGAAAAGGAGCAGAATGAAGAAAAACATCTTATAAGTTCTGCCCCCTTTTCCAGTAGAAATAATCAATTTATATATAATTTCCATTTGTCACACACACACACACATACAGATTCATTTTAAACCTTTTCCTGTTCTAAATTCCAGTGCAATCAAGATCATTGATTTCATTTACATTTTCATAATTATTTAGTACACTCAATTTGGTACATTTTTTGAATATATTGAATGACAGTTTTTTTTTATTTCCCTTTTAAGGTTATTAATTTAACACCATTTACAGATATATTCCATTCCTTAATTTTAGTTCTGAATCTAGGTTTTGTAAACACATCAGTTTCTTTCAGCATGTCATTTCTAGTTCTCTTTTCAAATATCCCCTGAATGTTTGTTGGCAGAGTACCTAAATTGGTTTTATACATGGTTTGTAAGATTTTCCAGTCTTTTAAATCGTGAAATTTCAGTAATTTATATTTAATAAACAACGGGATCGATGGATCTCTACAGCCACTATAATTGATGATTCTCAGAGCTCTTTTCTGTAAATTAAATAAGGGTTGTGTATAGTTTTTGTATGTTGCTCCCCAGATTTCTACACAATAAGTCAAGTATAGAACAATCAGTGAACTGTACAATGCCAACAAACCAGAATTAGTCAGTAAAAACTTGACTCTGTAATACTCCTAAGGATTTGGCAATTTTACCTTTTATGTAACTAATATGGGATTTCCAAGACAAGTCTTCATTAATAAGAACTCTAAGAAATTTTGTTTCTTTTACTCTGAATTGCAATCCCATCTATTTCCAATGACACATCACTGTTCTTTTTATCATTAAACAGTATAAAATTTGTTTTATTAAGATTCAGTGTCAATCTATTTATATCAAACCAGTTTTTAATTTTAATCAGTTCATCCTTTATCACTTTAGCCACCTCCTCAATATTTGATCCTGAGTAAAACAGTGTTGTATCATCTGCAAATAGAATGGTACCAAGTGTCTTAGATACATTTACCAAGTTGTTAATAAACAAATTGAACAGTTTTTGTCCGAGGACCGACCCTTGTGGCACTCCACAATTAATTTCACATAGTTTTGATTTATGGTCCTTAATCTGAACAAACTGTTTCCTTTTTTCTAAATAAGTTTTAACCAATTGATGAGTCACACCTCTTATTCCATACTGACTTAATTTTCGAAGTAACCTTGAGTGATCAATGACGTCAAAAGTTTTTTTCAAATCAATGAAAACACTAACAAAGTCATTTTTATTGTCAATTGCTGTTGATATTTTATCCGTTAATTCCATTATTGCCATTGCTGTGGAATGTTTAGTTCTAAACCCATACTGTTCATTGTTTAAAATATAAATTTTTTTCGATGAATTTATCCAACCTTGATACAAATACTTTTTCCAATATTTTAGAAAACTGTGGAAGCAGTGACACCGGCCTGTAATTATTGAAACTACGTTCATCACCACTCTTGTACAAAGGAATGACTTTCGCTGTTTTAATTGCGTCAGGAAAATTTCCAGTAGAAAGTGATAGATTACAAATGTAAGTGAATGGTTCAATGGCAGATTCTATGATGGTTTTAACAGTTATCATGTCCAGGTCCTGATAATCGTTTGATCGTTTGTTTCCACAGTTTTTTTTTACAATGTTTCATATTTCTTCTTGATTTACTTTGTCAAGGACAATACTATTGACAGTACTAATCATTGATCAATTTAATTACATATCAATTTATTTTCTATTATTGGTTTGTTCTCCATCAAACTCTTACCTACATTTACAAAAAAATCATTAAACTCAGTGATTTCTTTATCATCATACATATTTTCTTTGTCCTTGACAAAGTGATTTGGAATACTGGATTTTGTTTTCTCTCTATTAGTCACACTGTTTATTATTCCCCAAGTAGCTTTTGTGTTATTTTTGTTCTGATTCAATAGATTACCATAATAATCTTTTTTTTTTTTTGCTTCCTAATTATTGTTACCAATGTAGATCGACCAGTAAATTTAGAGCTTTGCCTTCTGACTCAGCTCTCTCTTCACCACGACAGATCGGTACAACGCCCGCATCACTGCACATGCAGCACCAATCCGCCTATCGATCTCATGCTCCATTTTTCCCTCCCTCGTGAACAAGACCCCGAGATACTTAAACTCCTCCACTTTTCATATTTTGAATGAATACTTTCAGCCTGGCCATGGAACACTGGACCAGCTCTATACTCTTAGGAGGATTCTGGGAGTTTGCCCAACCAATCCAAAATGTGTTTTGTGGACTTGAAGAAGGCATTCGACCGTGTCCCTCAGGGGGCCCCTCTGGGGGGGGTACTTCGGGAGTAAGGGGTACCAGGCCCTCTGATATGGGCTGTTAGGTCCCTGTATGACTGGTGTCAGAGCTTGGTCTGCATTGCCGGCAGTAAGTCGACTATGGTGAGAGTTGGACTGCCCTTTGTCATCAATTCAGTTCATAACTTTTATGGACAGGATTCTGCTTTTTGCAGATGATGTGGTCCTATTGGCTTCATCAGAATATGGCCTTAGGATTCCCCAGAGGAGCTGATCCAAGTGGCTGGGGAGAGGGAAGTCTGGGCCCCCCTGCTTAGGCTGCTGCCAAAACGAAAAGACCCTGGATAAGCCACTGAAAATGGATGGATGCATGGATGAAATTTCAGCCTACACAAGTTTGAAGGAGCTGAAGGAAGAGAAAAAAAATCACAGATTGATGATGACCTGGCTTTGTTGCTACTGGACTTGTAAGTAAATATTTTGACCCAACATTATAGATCTTTTTACTTTGTGGTTTATTTTAGTATTACTTGGTTCCTGTTAGTGTTAGCTTTTTGTCAGCACTAGCTACAGCAGGGTTGTTGACAACACTGTAATTCGACTATCAACCAGCAGGCTGGATGA